CTCGTCGCTCGACGAGAGCCTCAGCCTGTCCAGTATGCTCTGGGCAGGCTGTATACAGCATCGCCAACTCTCTGGGAGGCCACGGGGCGAGGGGCGTGGCTCGTAATCGTTAACCCTGGTGGCTCGTAATCGTTTTCGCCATCTTGATGTAATCGCGCCCGAGGCGGCCCGCCCTGGCCCTGTAGACCCTCCCAGAGAGTTGGCGATGCTGTATACAGCCTGCCCAGAGCATACTGGACAGGCTGAGGCTCCCGTCGAGCGACGAGCCATGCTGGCTCGCCGCCGCGCGCCGGCGCGCGGCGGCGAGCTCGAAGACCCGCGCCGAGCTTCGCCGAGCCTGGCGGGCCCGCCCGCACGCCCGCGGCCGCAGGCAAGGAAGGCGAGCTTGCTGGCGTCTTTGGCAAGCGCTCACATGCCAAGACACCTCGCAGCCCCGTGCCCAATGGTACTGCTGTCGGGGAGATCTTCCGGACAGGAACGGCGCAGCCACCAGAGACAGTACCAGCCGAACTGTCACGACACACGGCAGCAGGGGGGACGCAGCTGGATGGAAGTGACGACGAGAGCGAGAACGACTTTGACAGCGTCGCGGCGCGCTGTAACTTCGATTGGCCTGCAGCATCGAATGAGCCGAAACGAGGCACGAGGGCGACGCACTTCGTACGCTACGAGGAGATACAATTAGGCAAGGCAGCTGCGCAGGTGATGGTCCTGTTTGCAGAGAGGGGAGTCAAGGAAGGCCAAGAAATCACATGGTCATATGGGGACTCATACAAGAGCCACCGCAAGGAGATGGGATACAGGGCGGGGACCAGGGCGGATCCGAACGCAATAACACCCCAGCAAGCGCGGACGGCATTCGCGAGATACTGCAAAAAGATAGACGTGACGAAGGAGGAGCTAGCGTGGAACTTTGGATGCATATCGGCAAGCCAAAATAACGAGCAGGAGGCTGTCCTGGTGCGTGAGCTAATCCTGAGCAACAATAAGCGACTGTACCACGGAGCACAGAGCGCAGCAGACAGGACGGCGGCGACGGCGGACATGGCAGAGACGAGTGTGAAACAAAGGGCGGCGGGCATGGAGGGCGGTAGCGACGGGGATGGAGACGGTGACGGTGGCGAGGGAGAGGAAGGGGGTCCATTAACACCAGACAGCGAGAGGGGCAGGGAGGAAAGGGGGAGAGAGGAAGCCAACGCGACGTGCGCAGAGGATGAGGATATAAACTGGGACGACGCAGCGGAGGGGATAGGCGAGGGAATCGAGGGACCGGAGGGCTTTCGCGACAGCGACGATGACGACGAAGAAAGGGGAGGGGACGGAGGGGCGACACGCAGGAGGAGCGAAATCGCTAACGGCCCGAGCAGAGAGGGCGACGGCGGGGCACGAGGGAACAACGGAGACGCTACCGATGACGCGAACCGAAGCACGGACGCCGGCGGGGACGGGGAGGGCGACAGCGACGTCGAGGTTGACGCAACCGTATCGAGAGCGCCACCCAAAAAGGGGCGGACAGCCAAGGAGGTCACCGAATGGAGGGCGAACGGCACGATGCGAAAAGGCAGGGCGAGGCGGATGGAGAAAGAAGTGCCGAAGGCCATGGTGGAGGGGAGGGACGGGAGGACGAAAGAAGGGCGAGGAGGACGAGCGGCCCGCACAGACCGCGAGCAGACAGCGCCTGCTGGCCATTTCGAGACATTCGCCAAGAACGCTAGCTACATGGGAGGGCTTCGTGAAGGATGGATTGAAAAACATTCGAACAAAGAAGAGGCGACGGGAGAGAGAGAGAGAGAGAGAGAGAGATGCTGCTGCTGGCGCGGCGCGGCTGTGCGACTGGGCTCGACGCGCGCGTCGCGAGCGTCTGACGCGGCGGGCGGCGTCGGGCAGGTGCGCTTCTCTCTCGGGTGGTGGTGGTGGTGCTGCTGCTGCTGCTGGTGGTGCAGATGCTGCTGCTGGTGCGGCGCGGCTCTCCGACGCGACTCGGTGCGCGCGTCGCGGCTATCTGACGCGGCGGGCGGCGTCGCGGGCGGCAGTGGTGGCGGCTCGCGGGTGGAGGTGGAGGCTGGAGGCGTGGTGGGTCTTTGAGTTTATTTCATGATGGACTACGAGGAGTGGGGGTCAACCGGGAGGCAGGGGGTTCAACCAGGTGACGGAGGACCGTGGGCCATCGCGGGGACTGCTGCGTACGGAGGGCGCAGCAGGCAGATCCGGATGGTCTTCACGCCGGTGGGAGGCACCGAGGCGTCTGGGACGCTCAGCTCTACCTTAAGCTCCTGAGGAGCGCGTGGTTGTAACCACGTAGTAGGACTACAGCCCACCACAGACACCCTCCCCCACTCCTCACGTGTGTTCACACCCTCACCCTCTCCTCTCTCCTCTCTCTCTCTCTCTCTCTCCTCTCTCTCCTCTTGTCTGTGCTGTCTGCCTGACTCAGGCACTCAATCTGCCGATCCGTGATTGTGTGTGGGCTGCTCCGAGGGGGCCCTCTGTGCGATCCGACGGGTAGGGGGGCTGTGCCCGGGCGGTGTCCGGTGTGGAGTCCCCTTCTGATCCCGCCTGGGATGTTGGGTGTGAGGTTGTGGCGGCTTCGATCCCAAGGGGGGGAGCTGATCCCACTCAATAACCAACTCTCAGGGGCAGTAGGTGGGCGAGCTTCAGGCACGCTCATCTCGATCGTCAAGACGTTGCTACGCGCGGTCTTCCGCGGGGGGAGCTGCGTCGACGGGTGCGGGACCGCGGCGCAGCCAGTGCCGCGGCGAGGCCTCCGGCTGTTTGCGGCGGGCGGCTTGCTGCTCGCTGCGATGGCGAAGAACTCGTCTCGCCACACGCCAAGGGCTTATGCTCTGGCGAGACGTGAGGCGCATGCGCCCAGGAGGGGAGGGGGCATGCGTAACGACACTGCTAGAGATGCCTTTCGGGGCCCAGAGATAAAACTTCTGTGATGCCATGCGTGACCTAGTAGTGTCCCCAGCTATGGGCGTGTCCACGTTGGAGCCAGGTGTGGTGTGGGCGCGAGAATAGCTCCGCCGTTCATGGAGGCAACCGATGCGAGTCGACTGGTGTGTGTCGTCGTGGTTTCGTATCAAGAATTCTCTCTCTCTCTCTCTCGCGACGGGAGGAACCGGCGGAGGACGCAGTGACGTGACACACACACACACACACACACACACACACACACACACACACACACACACACACACACACACACACACACACACACACACACACACACACACACACACACACCGCTCACCCACGCGCACTGGGCCTTGCACTTTGAATGCCGTGGGGCTCCTGTCGTCAGACGTGGAGACGCGAGGGTTGCCCCCCCTTGCCCCACCACCTCGTGTGTGTGGAGAAGTTTACCTTACCTTACCTACCTTACTGCTGTCGCCCCCCTCCGCGCTGCTTTCCTCGTCGGGAGTGTGCGCGAGACGTGACCAAAGCGGCACGTCTCGGCGCCGCGAGAGCAGCCGGTCGGCGTCGGCACTAAGCGCGCGGCCGCCGGGCGCTTCCGAACCGACAGGGGCGCGACAAGTGGAAAATAGAACCGCAAAAAGAAATCCCGCGGGGGCTGACCGGCCCGCGGCCGTGAGCCCCCTCCCTCGATGGCCTCCCACCGCATCGGCGCCCGCCTGTCCGGCCTCTCGCCAGAGCAGCTCGTCGCCTTCATCGACGAGCAGGCGCCTCTCTGGAGCGCCGCCGCAATGCGCGTGGCGGAGGAGCACGCCGCACGGCTCGTGGAGCAGCCCGAGTGGGTGCTCTCCGAGGTCCTCCTCTCGCCGGACCTCGCCCCGCACATCCTCGCCCAGCTGCCGACCAAGGAGCACGCCGTCAAGGGGACGTGCCGCGCGTGGCGCCGCGGCTGGAAGGAGACGCTGAAGAAGCGCAAGCGGCCGCGCCTGGCCGTGATCGGCGGCGAAGGCAGCGATGTCGAGTTTGTCAACTCGCTGGAGCGGTACGACCCGTCAACGAATGAGTGGGAGCAGGAGGCTGTGGCGCCGATGCCGTCGGCACGAAAGTATGTCGGCACGGCGGTGCTCGACGGCAAGCTCTACGCGGCGGGCGGCCAGGAGGTGGTTGACCTCGCAATTTCCAACATGGCGGAGCGGTACGACCTGGCTGCAAAAGCGTGGGAGGCGGTGGCGCCGATGGCGACGGCGCGGCTTGCTCACGCCGTGGCGGTGCTCGAAGGCAAGCTCTATGCTGTTGGAGGCTTCAACGGTGCCCGCCTCAGCTCGGTGGAGCGGTACGACCCGGCGACAAATGCGTGGGAGGCGGTGGCGCCGATGGCGGCGGCGCGGGACTCTCACGGCGTGACAGTGCTCGACGGCAAGCTGTACGCTGTGGGTGGCTGCAACAACGCCGACGGCGTCCCCAGCTCGGTGGAGCGGTACGACCCGGCGTTGGATGTGTGGGAGGCGGTGGCTCCGATGGCGGCGGCGCGGTATAATCACGCCGTCGCGGTGCTCGGCGGCAAGCTGTATGCTGTGGGAGGCTTCAACCACGGCCTCCTCAGCTCGGTGGAGCGGTACGACCCTGCGTTGGATGCGTGGGAGGCGGTGGCGCCGATGGCGCCGGCTCGAAGTCGCCTCTCCGTGGCGGTGCTGGACGGCAAGCTTTATGTTGTGGGCGGGTCGAACGATGAGGAGGAGGACGTGGACGGAGGTATCGGCTGCCTGGTGGAGCGTTACGACCCGGCGTTGGAGGTATGGGAGGCGGTGGCGCCGATGGGGACGGCGCGGGTCTTTCCGACTTTGATGTAGGCGGCTCTCTCTCTCTCTCTCTCTCTCTCTCTCTCTCTCTCTCTCTCTCCCCTCTCCCGAATGGCTTTTCGTGCTGAGTACACGCTTCCACGGTGAGTACTTTGTGGGTACCGGCCACAACCGCCTCAGTCGGTCGAGCGGTACGATCCGGCAGTGGGCGCGTGGGAGGCGGTTGCTCCGATGGCGGCGGCGCGGATGAAGGCTTTCGCCATCTTGATGTAGTCGCCGTTGTGTACATGCTAGTCCCACCGCGTGGAGTGTGCTCGAGTGTGCAACGAAAAAGAAACGCGGACTGCGCTGCCAGTGGCTCTCCACCGCGCCTCGGTGTACCCGAATGGGCTGCGCAAGCTGACCGCCGCCAGCTGCAACTGGTAGTAGTTGCGAGACAAGCCTGCGGAGGACATGTCCAGGACGTGTCGTGGACATGTCGTGGACGCGTCCGCCGAGTGGTCGCTGGACTCGCCGCTGCAGCCGACGCCGCCCACCCACCACACCGCCCACAACGCGGCGCTGCGACCGCGTGGCCCGGCTCTGCCACCGACGGCCACCGACGGCCAGAGCGGGTGCAAGACGCCGGAAAGCATCGCCGCGGCCGAGGTGTCCCCGCCGCCGCCTTCACCCGCGCCGCCGCCTTCGCCCGCGCCGCCGCCTCCGCGGCCGCCTCCGCCGCCGCCGCCGAAATCGCCGCCGCCGCCGCCGCCGCCGCTGCCGTCGCTGCCGTCGCTGCCACCGCTGCCACGCCCGCCCGCCTGACCTCGGCGAGGGAGGAGGAGAGACGCGACCGAGAGCGGCGGCGGGCGCAGCGGAGGAGGAAGCGCGGCGGCGGCGAGCAGGAGCGCCGCCGTGGCGGTGGCCCACGAGGCGAGAAAGAGCGGCCTAGAGGAAGGTTCCGAGAAGGTTCGGGGAGTGCGCGGGAGCACCGATGGGAGCCCTGCCGCCGCCGCCGCCGCCTCGGCCCCCCCGCCCGCCGCGGACGCGTCGAGGCCGCTACCCTCGACCCACCACTCCCCGACGAGCGAGGCGGCCACGTTGCCGGCGTGGTACGAGGCACGGACGACGCCGGCGGCACGGGCAAACGCGGCCGGCTCAGGCGTGAGCGCAAAGACATAGGCAAAGAGGACCGTGTCGGCGGCGGCGGAGGCGGCATAGGTCAGCTGCATGCCGGCCATCGCCGGGACGCTCTGCGCGAAGAGCAGCAGCGTCCGCGTCGCCTGCCGGCAGAGCATGCCGCACAGAATGACCACGCGGCTGCCCGTGGCGTCGGCGAGGAGGCCCACCGGCAGCGCGAGCGCGAAGGCGCCCCACGTGGCGCACGGCCAGACGAAGCGCTCAAGGTCGGAGGCGGCGATGCTCTTGGCTCGGAGGAGATACAGCGTGAGAAACGGCTCCGATGGCTTGGCCTGAGCCAGCGCCGCCACGGCAGCAACACAATCACGCCATGGCCAAGGCGCCGCCGTGCCTCGACCATGCCGCGCATTCCTGCGAGGGATGTGTGCAGCGGCGGCGGCGGCGGCGGCGGCGGTACGTCTTCGGTCCCGGCGGGCGGGAGGCCGCCAACAGCCAGGCCGCCGTCCCCGTCCGCGTACCAGCATTTCTCTTTTCTTGGTGCTCCGTCGCGTTTCGGTGGTGCTGGCCGTTTTCGCAGCCGTTTTTGCGGGCCCGTTTCTTTTTCGGGCTCTCAACACGATGCCTACCTCCGACGCCGACTTTGCAGCAACGACGATGCCGACCTCGACGATGCCGACCTCGCCGGTGCCCTCTGAGTTCGACGAGCGGTCCTTCCCATGGTCGTGGAACGCCCAGCAGATTGAGAAGGACGTGGGTATACCCCCACCCCACCCCAGTACACGCCGCGCTCGCTACTGCCCAACTTTGTGTTGCTGGAGCTCGTTGAGGAGGTGACGCTGGAGCGGCCAGCAGCGAGCGCGGCGGGCGGTGAGCACGAGAGTGAGCCGCCGAAGGCAGCATTGGAAAAATTGGATGCTCTGGGGCGTCGGAGTTCTGGAAGCCGCTCCGTCGTGAGAAGCGCCATCTTGGCCAATGGAGTTGGAGATGGCACGGATCCGCTTGGACTTGCATAGATGCTGCTCCCGCTGCCTTCCGTCTTGGGCTGGCCCACGCGGCTTTGGGCACGCCGACTCAGCCCTCTCGTTCGCTGCCCTGGCGCGGCACTGCAACAAGGAGGCGGGCTCGCACGTGCCGGGCGAGGATCTCTTCGAGTCGGACTGCTACGACATGGGCGTCAGGCGGCGGACCAGCTGAGTAACAAACTTTCGCACGCTCAGCACCTCGATGAGGTCACATGGACCACCAAGAACTGGCACGGGCTGCAGATGCAGCGCTTGTCTGTCGTTCTCCACACCGCCGTGGCGTGGCAGACGGTGAACGAGCTAGCGTGCGGGGACAGCGGCATTGTGCACGGAGCTAAGTGCATTGCCGTTCTTAACGGAGTCGCTTAGGCTCCGGTGGTGTGCCTGTGATAGTGCTAGCACGCGCCAGTTCGCACCTGTGTCGAGCCTGTGTGCTGTGAGAGAGAGTTCTTTTGTTTAAATTCTTCTAGTTCGCACCTGTGTCGAGCCTGTGTGCTGTGAGAGAGAGTTGGGTTGTTAAATTCTTTCAGCACAGCGCTTCCTTGTCCCCGACAGCCAAGGAGCACGATAGATATAAGGAAAACAAGCCACGATGACTGGTCTGCTCTCGCTGGTCAACCTGCTCGTCCTCGCCTACTCCGTCTCTGGAGCGCCACTACCGCTTCAGGCTCTCGACGAGACGGCGGTGGTGGTGGAGAGTGGTAGTGGAGGTCTCGATCGCGATGCGGTAGACGCCAAGGCGCCTGGCGGGAAGGACAATGACCTGCAGACGCCAGATCTCGACAAGAGCAACGCTGTTCACGACCTCGCCGACGCCAAGCCGCCCGACGAGAAGATTGCCTTGGTCGACGACCTCCTAATCGCCGGAGCCGTGGGCATGGCGGGCGGCGCACTGCTTGGCGGCGCAGCCTCTCGCCCGCAGGCTACGCAGGTCGTCTACGAAGCACCGCCGCAGCCGTGCCCGTACGGGCGGTACGCGCCTGCGTGCAAGAACTGGCCTGGCTATTCTGGAGGGGCCTCAAACGGCCTCGGATCCGACTACTACCACGGGCCGCACCACTACGGCCGCGCTCTCGACGCGGTGGTCGACGCCAAGCCGCCCGGTCTCGATCGCGATGCGGTAGACGCCAAGGCGCCTGGCGGGAAGGACAATGACCTGCAGACGCCAGATCTCGACAAGAGCAACGCTGTTCACGACCTCGCCGACGCCAAGCCGCCCGACGAGAAGATTGCCTTGGTCGACGACCTCCTAATCGCCGGAGCCGTGGGCATGGCGGGCGGCGCACTGCTTGGCGGCGCAGCCTCTCGCCCGCAGGCTCAGGTCATCTACGGGCCACCACCGCAGGCTCCGCCGTGCCCGAATGGTCAGTTCCTCGCGTATGTGGGTGACAGGCTGCGGTGTACGGATCACTACCGCGCTTGAGGACAACACGCCTAGCACACACATACTGTCTGACTGCATACTGACACACACACACACACACACACACACACACACACACACACACACACACACACACACACACACACACACACACACACACACACACACACACACACACACACACACACACACACACGGTCGACCGCACACGTTTTCGGCTTGTGTGCAGTGTCCAGTGAGAGTGAGTTGTTTTTCGGTCATATCTGGGCGAGGTGTTGAGACTTCGACGGTTATGTGTGTGCTGTGTGCACAAATGTGGCGCGCTACGAAGTAAAGAACCCTTCAGCAGCTCACACGCTCACGCTGTACACTACTGTGTCACACTCTCTCACAGCAGCTGTGGGCACCGTCCTCCGAGCTCCGTCGCACTCTTACTCTAAGTAAGTGTAAGACCGCAAAGCGCAATGCGCATGTGGCATATGTGACTTGTGACACCCTGACACCCGAGAGCGGCTTGAGCGGGGGGAGACTCAGTCGGAACTGGGAGACCTGCTGGCCTGCTGCTCCTTTCTAGAGCTGTACTCTGTACACCCACATGCATCTCACAGGATAAAGCCGTAGAGGTGTCCGTATTATTGTAATGGCCGCTAGGCACTTGTGCCACCCGAGCTGCTGGGCTTCGGCCGCTGTGAGACACATCCACACGCACCTCTCACGTCTGCATCTCAGTATCAGTGTCACAATCAGTCCCACGGCATCCTCGCGTCCGCAGACCCCGTGGCAGACCCCGGGGGCGCGGCCGCGCTCTCCCCGCGCGCCTCGCCCGATCCCACCGTGCTGGGCAGCAGCTCGGACATCTCACGCGGGGTCGGCTCGCGGCCGACCCAGCAGCCGACAGGGAGGTACTGCTCGCCGCCGCCGCCCTCGAGCCGCCGGTAGAGGACGCGCCGCCCGTCCTGGCGCGCCATGCGCAGCGCGCCGAGGATGGGGTACATGAAGGTAGTCCCCGAGTAGAGGAGCCGGAAGTGGTAGATCTCGGCGAAGCTCTCCGCAAAGGCCAGCCGCTCGGCGCGGCCGCGCACGCCCATCACCCCGGAACTGGACTGGCGGTCCTGTTCACGGCTTGAGGTGTGAACAGACGCCGTTCACGCCCGTCACCCCGGAGCTGGACAGGCGGTCCTACACCGGGCGGGGAGGCGGGGCGGGGGGGCGGGGGGAGGGCCGGAGATGTTGCCGTGTCGGGCCAGGGGCGAGGTCAGGGCGAGGGGCGAAGTCAGGGCCAAGCGATGTTGGGGTCCGGCGGTCGGGATCCTGCAGCAGCGGGTTGATCAGCACGACGGCGGAGCCCTGCGAGGCCGCCGCCTCGGTCAGCGCCTCGAGCGGCGGCACAATCGGAGCGCCGACCATCGACTGCGGCGCGAGGACGAGGAGCACCTGCAGGGCGCAACACGCCCAGGTCAGGGACGTGCCCTGGCGACCACCGGCTGCGGGCGAGCCCGCACGTCGTCGTCCGGCGCCACCTCCTCCCCTCCGATGGCGCCGAACCGGACGATGGCGTCGGCGCTCCGAGCAAGCCCTCGTTCGGCTCGCCCTCCCCCGCCTGCGGCTACGCGACGCCGTGTCGCCGACCGAGTCAGGGGCGAGTGAGGGCTCGGGCAGCTGCCGCCTGCCAGTCCATCATACCGAGCAGCTTGCTCACCTAGAAGGGTCCTAGAAGGCTCCTAGAAGGCCCCTAGAAAGCTCCTAGAAGGTTCCTACCGAGCAGCTTGCTCACCCCCGCCAGCACGCGAGGGACGCCCGCCAGGACGCCCTCGCCCATCGAGCCTACCCGAGACCGGCCGAGATCAGCCGAGATCGGCCGAGATACCGCGAGCAGGCCCTCTCCCTTCGAGCCTACGGGACGGCGCCGAGAGCCCTCGCGCCTCGGTGTAGTCGGTCACCGCGTCCTGTCCACAGGCCGAGCTTGTGAAGGGGAGCGGTGGAAGAGGCGGACCCTAACCCTAACCCTTGCGGGCAAGCTCCTACTCACAGGCCGAACAATGATGAGCTGTGAAGTCGCCTTTGAGAGCGGCGGGAGAGGCGGCCTCGTATCGAGCGGAGGCGGCGTTGCCTCGGGCGCGCATCGCGTCTGCCCTCGCCTCGCTCTCGCCCCTCCTCCGCATCGCCTCCTCCCTCGCCCTCTTGTTTTCGAGAGACACCACCCTCTGCCGAAGCGCCTCCCGCTCGCACTCGCGCCGCTCGAGCGCCTCGACCGCCCCCTCCGCGTCGTACGACTGCCACTTGTCAAAGTTGGTCGCACCGCTTCCCACCCGCGTACCCGCCGCCGCCTTCGTGGGAGCCGCCGCCGCCGCCGCAGCAGCAGAAGCAGGAGCAGCCGCGTCGCCGCCCGCCTTGCTCCGCCGCTCGTCCTCCAGAGCGAGCCGTGCGAGCTCCGCCTTGGCCTCCTCGATCTCGCGCGACTCCGCCTCTGCAGCCGCCGCCTCTGCCGCCTCTGCAGACGCTGAGTCGGCTTGCGGAGCGATGCCGCGCAGGGCATTGTCACGAGCTTCGATGTAGGTCGCGGAAGGCGGAGTGCATCTGGTCCACGTTCTGGCGCATCCGGAGCTGCGCTTCCAGCGACATGGCGACGGGTTCTGCGCAGTTGTGGGAGGCTCAGTGGAGAGGCTGTGCAGAGCTGTTCAGAAAAAGTATTCGCGCGCTAGACATACGAAACCTACTCTACTCTAGAGAGATCATGCAGGATGATTACCCTTTGCGAGAAACACCCCTTAATGCTTCCTGTCCCGTTTTCGCCACCAACTCAACCAGCCCCTCCCCCCGCGAGAAAAAGAAAGAAAACGGACATCCCAAGGGAGGGATGGGAGGACGGCACGCCGCCACCCACAAGGGGATTTTTTGGAGAGGGGTGTGATGCGCTAGCCGTCGCCCACTTGGGCGTCCGCCTCTTCCTACATGTATCTCTCTTCGCAGTATTCTCTCGCCAATTCTCGCTGCAACCTTCATGCCACCTCGCGGTCGTCCCACTCTCGTCGTTCTCTCCCTGTCGCTTCTTCCTCTGTCGCCCGCGAGACCTCGAGTGAGTGAGTGTGAGTGAGTGTGTACACACACACACACACACGAGACCTCGAGAGAGTAGTGCCGAAGGCGCTCTTTTTGATCGAGCCCAAAATCACTGTGAGAGGTTCCGTCGATGTGTGCAATCATCGAACCCCCTTCGCAGTCTCAGGAATGCCTTTGCCTGCGCCTCCCCTCGCCCCGCGCGATGCGGCGCGTCTTGGCCATTTGCGCGAGCGTGCCCAGCCGATTCGCCCAATATCCCAAGCGCTGCAGCAAAATCGTGCGCGGCTGCCCGCCGTGCTGCGACCGCCGCGCGAGCGCTCGTTCCGAGGCTCGAGCGCCACGAATCTGGCGCAGCCGGATTGAGGGCAGAGCGGCCACCTAGCGCGCAGCCGCGAATCGCCTCCATGCCTACTGCGCTCCCGCGACGCCCGAAGCAAGCGCGCGCCATGCTCACCCCATTTATGCTGCTGACGCTCTCCCGCCGCCGCCTGTGCGCCTCGCAGATCCACAAAACAACGTGAGCGAGGCGGGTGTGCCGCGGAGTTCCTTGGCGCTGGGCCTCAAGCTGTGTACGCTGCGAGTAGGTGCGGCCCTTTTGAACCCCCCTCTCCCCAAATTTCACGGCCCTCAAAGACGCTCAGAGCAGAGAGAAAGAGCACTTGATGGCCCGATTACGATGTGCAGCAATCAGAGGAGATTAGCCGATATTCAGGCGATAATTAGCCGACATTTCGTCCGTTAGTGCCTGAGATCCCCCCCCCCCCCCCCCATCATAGGTACGAAAAATCGATCGAAATCATGTCAGAGAACCAGACGCTGATGGTCGGCATCGTGCCGGCCGAAGACGGCAGCATCAAGGTCGTCATCTCCGAGTCGAACTCGCCTCCGCTCCTCGGAGCCAAGGCGGTGCGTGTGCGCTTGTTGTCGCAGATCTCCACTCTCCTCCCAACACGCCCTCCATTCTCCCTCGCCGACAGGCGAGCGGCGCCAAGAACGCCCTCGTGAAGGACGTCCCCGCAAAGTCTAGGACGGTGACGAGCACCTCTACTCTACTTCTCGCCACGTCAACTTGAGCCATCTACTGACCCCGCTTGCCTTCTCGCCCGCAGGCATCTACCTCATCGACGCGCCCCGCCGCACCAGTTGTGAGTGACTGGCCGCAACCCGTCACCCCTCTCTATTCCCTGTCTCCCCGCCCCCCCCATATCCCTCATATCCCCCGCTCCCCGTTTCCGACAGACGCCTTCCTTGGCTCGGGCAATCGCGCCGACATACTGGTGAGATGCAAGAAGAATCCCCAATTCGAAGGTGCGCCTCCGAAGAAGACGTGCGCCGTGGACGGCGGCCTGGAGTACAAAGATTGCTGGGAATACGAGATTAAGGCCTGGTATTATAACTTCCGGGGAGCCTCAACGAGCGATGTGTGCGACAATGTCGTCGATCTCGCAGAAGGGCAGACCGCAGCGAACATCAGCAAAACGTTGATGAACGCCGCGGAGATCAGCGCAAACTCAGAGCACAAAAATATCACAATTGTTTCTCTCGGAACCATCCTGGCGATAGCAGAGGATGTGGGCGGGCTCGGTGGTCGAGACGTACAACTGCCTGCAGAACATGGTCAACCACTCCGGCGTGCCGTCGGCAGCTCGGTTCTTCTTCTGCACGTTTTCGATGTATCAGCCGCAAGACGGAGCGGAGGGCGGTCTCTCGATCTCGGAGCAGATTGCACTCGAGCCGTTTGCCGATATTATTGAGTCGAAGCCGACGCACGGTATGTTTGTGCTCCACACGACTATTTCGGAGGTCTACGACCGGCTGTGGGTGGCGCACGAGGCGGATGTGGGTATCGACGCAAAGCTTCAGATGCGTGGGCTATTCGACATGTACCGATGGACAGTCCAGAAGTTTGAATCGGCCGCCACTGTCAAGACGTGCGATGGTAAGTGTGGCGTGGAGAAGGACCGCGCGTACATTGAACGCCTCATCATGCAGCGTGGTGGCTTCGGGCGTCTCGATGACGTAATCGCGACATTTCGGACGAAGATGCTCGCGGAGCTCACGGACTTCTTTAAGCTGACGGGCGACCCTGATACCACTTTGCTGGCGGGATTTACCAATCCCAACGTGGTTGTTGATAACAGGACATTCGATTGGAAGGAAGAACGAATGGAAATGCAGAGTCCAGTCTACTATTATTGCCACGAAGTGGTATGGAACTTTCAGGCTGAATGGCGGAAAGAGCTAGCCAAGGTGGGCGCCTTGCTTGGGATGGTGGGAGACATGGAGTCAGGTCCGCTTGGAGCTTCGAGTTTCCCTTTGGGACCTGCTCGTGTAATTGAAGAGTGTCATTGAAAACACATATGGGCGGTTAACCGGTAACGTAGGGGCCGTGGCGTGGAGATATAACAGTCGAAATGCCCATGGCTTCGAGAAAGGTAGTGCTAGCTGCTAGCGCACAGACACTTCGTCCCCCACTACGGCTAGCACGCGGACGCGCTATTCCGCTAAAGGATGGAGAAGACGAACAGGCATAGGTGCGCAGGCACTTGGATTGTGTCCTCCTCATTCGTCATTGAGCATTTTGTGTGTATGTGCGCGCGCACATCTCGTGCGCGCGTGTGTGTGTGTGTGCCTGTGTCGTGTGTGTGCGCGGGAAGGCTTTTTTGTCTCTCGCCTTGGACAGTCGGATGTCGCTCGCGTCGTCGTCGCCGCCGCCGGCACATCTCACGACTGACAATAATACAAATGGGTTGCGCCACTACGCGTCACACGCTTCCTTCGCGCAGGCTTCCCCTGCGGCATGCCCTGTTGGCCGTCTGACTCGTCCAGCGCAGCGCGCGCAGAGTGCCTCGCAGCGGCACTTGCACCATGCGGGAGGGCGCCCTGAAAGCCGCCCAGTGCAGCACTCTTGCCGCCCGCCAGATCGGCCCTGGGCGCCGCTCTGTGCCCATGTCGAGCTTCCAGACCTCCCACAGCCAGCCCATGGAACGCAGCAGAGCGGTGTCGCCGGCCAGCCGCAGCTTCTTTTGCAGAACGGCGGCGATGGGAGAGGTGTGCCGCGCGAGGAGAGCGGCGAGAGTCTCCGCGTCGACGACCGCCTGCACGTCGCTCTCCACCGGGCAGACGCCACCCTTGCACACGACGACCTGTGCCGGAAAAGACGCTGCGTGTGAGGTGCTGAGAGGCTGCGTTTGGGTGGTGCTTGGGTGGCAGGGAAGGTCTGGCGCCTTGCACTGAGCAGCGTCCACCTGCCATGTCTCCCTGCCCACCTTCATTCGGAGGACACCAACAGCTGCGTCCGGCGGCGGCGTTGATTGCGACTGCAGCCGCTCGGCCATGTGCTTGAAGATGAAGCGCTCGTCGATCGAGGGCTTCGTTGGTGAGGAGAAGGAGAGGGTCAGCAGTGCCAACGCGGTCGGCATACTCGACACCCAAAGCCAGCAGGCGATAGTCAGTCAGTAGCCGGACGGGTCTATGGACCTAGGTCCCGCCAGTCGGAAACTTCTCGCAACGGTCGATTTTTCTTTTTTTCGACGATGGAGACAGAGCAACGAGTGCAACTGAACACAAGACCACACAGCCTGGTTCCGGCATGGAGACGCACGAACCAAGCCAGGGTGGGAGCCGGGGGAGATCTACAGAGTGCATAAATTACAGAAAAGCGCGGAGTGTGAGCCCGCGAGCTCACGCCGCCGCCTCCCCCCGCGCCCGGAGCCCCACGCCCACATCCCAGATCTCGTGGTACAGCGCCTCCACCTCGGTCGCCGTCGGCACGATCGGGTTGTTGTTTGGCGAGCCGGACGCGAGGGCGGCCTGCGCCATCGATGGCACCGCCTTGCGGAAGACAGCCTCGTCAATGCCAAACCCCTCGAGCGTGGGCACGCGCAAGTCACTGGTCACCCGCTGCAGCGCGTCCGGGATGCCCATCGCCGCGTCGATGTCGGCGGCGCCCTCGTCGCAGAGACCCATCAGCCTCGCGGCGTCTGCGTACCGCTTGACGGCGCCGCCGGCCGAGAAGGCGGTGACGCGCGGGAGCAGCATCGCGTTGCACATGCCGTGCGGGATGTGGAAGCTGGCTCCGAGCGGCCTGCTCATGCCGTGGATCAGCGTGACGCTCGAGTTGGAGAAGGCGATGCCCGCCTCGCACGAGCCGAGCAGCATCGCCTCCCGCGCCGCGCCGTCGGCCGGAGAGCTGCACGCGGTGTGAAGCGCACCGCCGAGCCTCCTCATCGCCGAGGCGGCGACGCCGTCGGAGAAGGGGTTGGCCTTGGCAGAGACGTACGCCTCCATCGCGTGGCAGATCGCGTCGATGCCGGTGTCGGCGGTGAGTCTGAGCGGCTTGGTGAGAGTGAGCTCGTGGTCGAGGATCGCCTATTCACAGCTCAGTGGGTGTGAAGAGACGCGGCTCACACCTCTCGCCCTGAGCTCGTGGTCGAGGATCGCCTATTCACAGCTCAGTGGGTGTGAAGAGACGCGGCTCACACCTCTCGCCCTGAGCTCGTGGTCGAGGATTGCGGCGAGCGGGAGGTAGGCGAGCCTACAGGGGGGGGGACATGTGAGGGGTTTGCTCGCCTTCCCAGGCACCCCGGTGTTGCGTGTCTGACTGTCGCTGTGCTGCCGTGCGGCTTCGGGCCCGCGGCTGTACGCCAGCCTCGGGGCGGGAAGACGGTACTGTGCAGTGTCTTCAGAGCACCGCGTGAGTACGAGGGCTGTGAGTGCGGCGAATGCGGCTGAATACGGCTGTATACACGTGAGCGACGCGTCCTCTCGAGCGCTGGTTGGGATACAAGAATGCGTCTTCTGCTTCTAGGACGGCGCGCCCGATGCAGAGCATCTTCTCCTCCGTCTCAGAGTCGGTGATGATTGTGAACTTGGTCGCCTCGCTGCCCGTGCCGGCAGTGGTGGGGATGGCGACGATCGGCAGGCTGGGCCTGTCGAGCGTGAACGGCGCCTTGTAGTCGCGCATCCGCCCGCCGTGCGTCCGCAGCGCCGCCGCCGCCTTGGCCGTGTCCATCGGCGACCCACCGCCCAGAGCGACGATCGAGTCGTACGAGCCGGCGGCGAGCGCGTCGACGCAGCGCTCGACGCTCTCGGTCGTTGGATCGCTGATGGTGTCGGTGAAGACACCGTAGTCCGCCACGCTCGTCGACATCGCAGCGACCACCTTGTCGACCGCGCCGCTCTGCGGGCTCGCGAGGAAGCTGTCTGCCACGACGAGCGGACGCCGCATGCCAAAGTTGGCGAGCAGCCCGCCGAGGCGGCCCACCGAGCCGCCGCCGGTGAGGATCGCGCGCGGTAGATCGAGAGAGACGACCATGGTTGGCTTATTGGCTGAAGCGCTCGTCAACCACCTTGGAATTTCAGGGGAAAAGAATTTAAAAAAAGAACTCTCTCACAACGGGAAAAGAATTTTACAAAAAAATCAACAAAACTCCCTCGCACAACACTGGGCACAGGACTGGGCACGGGACTGGCGCGCACTGGCACTAACACAGGTACACCACTGGAGCCGCCTAAGCGACTCCGGCGAGGACGGCGAGGCACTTAGCTCCGTGCACTCGACCGCCCTCGCCACAGGCAAGCTCATTCACGACCTGCTCTGCGATGGCCGTGTGAAGAACGACTGAGATGCGCTGCTTCTGCAGCCCCAGCCAGCTCTTGGTGGTCCAAGTCACCTCATCGAGGTACTGAGCCCGCGTCAGCTTGTTCTGCAGCACGTTCGCTGCGTCCCGGAGGATCTCGCCGACCCCCTAGCTTCCCGAACCCGCCGAACGACTCGAACAGCAGCAGCCGCACGTCGACACCCTTGTCCTCCCTGGCGTAGCGATACTCGCCACCATAGGACGGTATGCGGCGATCGCCGCCCACCACCCTGCCCCCCCTAGTATGCCAACGACCAGTCCCCTGCCCCCTCTCGCCCTTGCTCTTCCTCTCTCCCTCCATTCCCTCGCCCCCATACCCTTGGCATTCCCTTCCATCCCCTTCCCCCCCTTTTCCCCCCCCCCCCCCCCCTCGCCTCCCTCTCCCTCCGCGCGGTAGGGCCCATGCCCCTCGACCATGTTCCGGTAGAATGATTCGGTGTTGCCAAAGGCGACAAAAGCGCCCTTCCGACCATGCTCCCCGCCGCTGGTGAGGGGGCAGTCTCAACCTTGACATCGCCTGAAAAGCGCTTGCCGCCCCTGCCAATGTTGCACGCGTCCACGTCGTCGGGTTGTTTGTTGTAACTCTGACCGAGGTGGCCTTTCGGCAAAAGAATTTTACAACAAAACTCCCTCGCACGACACTGGGCACGGGACTGGCGCGCACTGGCACTAAAGGGAAAAGAATTTTGCTCAACGGCGCTAGCGCGCCTACTAGCGGCTGGCGCGAGGAGGCAGAGTCCCTGATCCTGCCGAGAGGCTCAGACCCTTTTGCCGCTTGCACTTTGGCCCGCCGGCGCGGCCAGGTGCGCGTCCCCCGCACGTCTTGGCTCTTGCGGAGGAGATACAGGGTCAGTGCAGCCTGATGCCGCGCTCCTCGCACACGGCCACCAGCGCCTTGCAGCCCTGCTCGTTGCTAATCTTGTTGTTGAAGAGAACGAGCTCCTCGAGCCGCGGCGCTGCCCCGCTCGCGAGGACCTCCGCCAGCTGCGCCGCCTCCGCGTCGCCCCAGCCGAGATAGGCGTAGTACAGCCTGGTCGCCTTGCCAAACTGCTCCTCGAACGCGGCCTCGTACAGCCGCTTCACGAGCGGCTTGTCGTCCTTGCCGTTGGTGAAGCTCTTCTTCTCCAGCTCCGCCGCGAACGCAGACGGCAGCAGCGGAGGGCGCCGGCCGCCGCTCTGGGTGCAGTCGTCGATGAGGCTCCTGTAGTGGTACTCCTTGCCGTCGCGCATCTTGCCGAGGTCGAGCGAGAGGCTGCTGGACTTGGTCAGACTCGCCCAGCTCTGCTCCGTGAAGCACCAGCCGCGGTCAAAGTACGCGGCCACGTTGGTGCCCTCGGGCTGGTCTTCCGTCTTGTGGCCGACCGGGAAAGAGGTCAGCCGCAGCACGGTCGTTTTGGGATGGGAGTAGAGCGTGCCGAGGCAGCTCAGCCCCTGCTTGAAGAGCGCGTTCTGCTCCTCGGTGCGCATGACGCCGTTCGCGGGGTCGGGGTGCTGGTGCAGCGAGCCGTAGTCCCAAAAGACGCCGAGCCGCGGAAAGACAGCAAGTGATCTGTTGAGCAGGGCCTTGAGCGCCTTTGCGACGCGGGAGAGGTTGGCTCCGCGCGGGTCGGGATGGTCCTTGGTCAGCCACGGGCAGGAAAGCGCGGCGACGGGAAGCTTATACTCGCTGGTCGCCTCGACGAGGTCGGCGAGGGAGAGGAAGGCCTCTTCGGGCAGCGCCTGGCGGTGGGAGAGGACGCCGCCTGCCTTGGCGTGGCTGATGATCCACTGCGCGTCGAGGACGGCGATGGCGCCACTGGTGAGGACCGGCTCCAGGGCGTCGCCGCTGAGCTTGCGCCACCGCGCCAGCTTCCTCGCATCAACCTTCGACTCTCGCCGAAGCTGGCGCGCATCGTCAGCACGGTCCTCGTCGGGCGTGGTTGGCGTCGCCTTGACGGACGGAGGCGACCAGGGCGTCCACGGGCACCGGCACTCGGTGACAAACGCGAGCGGGGTGCTCGAGAGCGAGCACGAGCAGGCACTCATGCGCGCGCGCACGCGGGCCTGGTAGGCAACCGTGTGGTCGATATGCTTCTTGGCGATCATCCGCCCGCCGCCGATGGGCTTCTTGGCTTCGATCCACCCCTCGTTCTCGCCGAGCTGCAGCGCGTTGCCCTCCTTGTCGACGGGCGCGGCGCGCCACTGCACGTGGTAGACGCCGCCCGCGGCGAGCACGGTGGTCTTGGTCGAGTTCTTGTCGCCCTTCTCGCCGTGCAGCTTCCAGGTGATCGAACGCGGCTCGAAGGCCCGCCCGGTGGTCGGGTCGTTGCGTGACACCACGGGCGGCGCTGGCGGTACGAGGCCGTCGTGGCCGCACTGGCCGCAGCGGTAGCCAAACTGCTTGTACGAGAGCTTGTGCAGCTGCGCGTTGCACTTGTCGCAAAAGGTGTGGTCGCGCGGCTCGTCGAGGCTCGCCTCGAGCAGCTCGTTGGCGGCGTCCTCCATCTCGCGGAGCCGCTGTCGAGCACCTCGGATTGCGAGCGGCTGATATCACGCAAAAACACAACCCCCGACACTTGAGCACTTGAGCACTGGATAGGGTCGATTCCGCGTGGTACGGGACCCCTCGATCGTCTCGCCCTCCCTCACTGGTGTGTTCATTGGGGGGGGTCATAACAAACACGGTACAGGATCGAGGTGCACGCTGCCGAAGCAGTGTCGTCCCCCCTCTCCCCGACGGCGATGGCGGTGTGACCGATCGAGCTACAAGAGGAGCTTGTTCAGCCGGATCCGGAGTGGCCAGATGCACTACCTCACTGGGCATGAGACCACCGTACGACGCATCCATCACCGTCTCGGATTTGTGTGGAGTCGAACCACTCCGGGATGGGGCAACCCCATCGACATAGCTGGTGGGCACCTCTGGTTAATTGTCAAAATTCCTGTTGTGCGAGAGGGGAGAGGGCTCTGGCGGAGTGTGTGGCGGGAGAGGGCAGGGAATGGGCGCGGGGGAGGGGGGGGGGGGGGGGGCTCACCCGTGCAAAAAGCATCAATTAATAATTTTAATGAAGAAATATTAAATACAACCTCCGCTCACAATCGTAACAAAGATCCAAGGATTGCTAGCAGGCCGCACAGAGGGCAAGCGCTCTCGCCGCTGGAGCGATTGGGAGTGACCTCTGTGCGCCTGCTAGCAATCCTTGCTTGGATGGGTGGTACTCGAGTACGATTGTGAGCGCAGCAGCCGCTCATAGTCGTACACGATGTAGGATTGCGAGCGCTACCGCTCGCAATCGGAGGCATGTTACAAAGCTTGGTACTCCGCAACCCGTAAGAATGCATCCTTTTCTGGGATCGTCCTTCCTGCTCGTGCGCTCAACACCCTTGCTGTTATTTTCTTTTTGCCATGTGTAGGCCCCTCAAGGCCCCACTACCATATTTGTTTCTCAGGTGGAGAAGCGCTGGCCGGGTTCCGTCTGAGCAGGCGGACATCGCTTCCAGGGAGGGGGGCGCCCTTCTACTCACGCCCCCCCCCCCGCCTAGAATGTGGTGAAGCCTCTGGGGGGGTCGGGACCCCCCCCCTAGCATGTGGTGAAGCCTCTGGGGGGGTCGGACCCCCCCCCTAGCATGTGGTGGGCACCCCCACAGCAGTTCGTGGGCTAGGAATAGCTGCCAGAGATCCGATTTTGGCCCCCAAGTTGTGAAATCGTGGCTGAAAGTCCACTATCTTGGAGAATCTGACCAGTCTCAAGGCTCATATAGCTCCAAAGGATGATTTCCCCCTCGAAAATGCTCGAAATGAGGCGTAAAATCAAGGGCCCGGAGTTGGGGCAAATGTAGATTTCCTGCCCAGCGTAAGGATATTTCTTTCATTTCTTTCGTCTTTATTTCGTGCCCCACCACGGCAAATTTGCGAGAAATTTCTTCGCCCCGTCACTCCATGCTCAAGTTTCGCCCCTTTCCGTGTAAGGAAACAAGGTGTCCCCCATGTTGGACCAGGCACCGTGCGGGCCTGCCGTGCCTTGCTTGAGCCGGCAGGCCCGCGCGGCAGTGATGGTGCGCCTCCGCGGAGAGGCTGACGCTGGTCATCGGTCAGCGGTCAGCGGTCATCGGTCACCGGTCAAGCGGGTCATCGGGCGTCAGTGTCATTCAGGCGTCAGTGTCATTCGCGTCAACACAGGTATGGTAAATTTCCGGAAATTTCTCCTTCCGAACAAGGCTGTCATATTTCTCAAAATATTTCGGGAAATCTACATTTGCCCCAAGCCCCGGAGGGTCTGACCACGAGTCTCTGTGGGGGGTCCTCGGCCACGACCCCCCCCCCTAGCATGTGGTGAAGGTGCTGGGGGGGGTCGGGACCCCCCCCCTAGCATGTGGTGAAGCCTCTGTGGGGGGGTCGGACCCCCCCCCCTAGCATGTGGTGTGAGTAGAAGTGCGCCCCCCTCCCTGGAAGCGATGTGCGCCTGCTCAAGCGATGTCCGCCTGCTCTCTGGATGGATCCTCCGACCCCTACAGTATCGTCTGCGCCTTGTCTGTTCTCGAGGTTCTGTCGTGAATCATGAATCGCGTGTGTCGAATGAATTCCTAGTATCTTGCTCTTAACTCTGTTCTCCGCATTTTTGTTTCGTCGACTTAGTTGTACGTACTTTTAGCTTGCTGGGAGAAAAGAGAGAGGGGGTTGTGTTCTCCTGGCCCCTCAGTAGTTTTGTAAAATTCTTCGAGCTCCGATCCTCGACACAAACCAATGCTCTCCGCGAACCCCCACCGCCTCCTTTGTTTGTGGAGACCACAAGAAAGACCCGACCGGCGGCCAGCACCCACCCTCTACTACGCGGCATGTTGCTCCTTGGACCACTTGGATGACCCTGTGTGGTGGCGGCGTGCCGTTCAGCGTTCTGCCTTCCGCTTCCCTCCGCTCGGGTACGGGTTGTCTGTGTTCCCCCGTTTTCCTTCACTACCAGGCGACGCCAAAACAAATTCACAGATCATGGACGATGTGGATGCTGTATGGACCCTCCTGAACGCAAAGTCGGATCCGCCACAACGCCGTTGATTCAACGCTGTCTTAAGCACCTCTCCCCAGTCACGACGAGAAGGAGAGCAGCACCTCGACGACCTCGAAACACGCGCGGAGCTGCCATGCGCACGCGGCGACCATGCAGGCGCCGGTTGCGTCAAGGTCCGCCGCCCTCCATTGGCAATCCTCGCAGCCGAGGGGTGGGTCGTCTTTGTCCTCCGTTTGTCCTCCAGCGCTCGTTGACAATCTGGTTGTTGCGGAGCTCGAGCCAAGGCGAGGAGGGCTTGCCGAGGGTGGCGTACAGCGCCTTGCAGCCCTCGTCGCCAATCTGGTTGCTGTTGAGCGAGAGCCCCATGAGCCGCGGCGCTGCCCCCAGCTTGCCGAGGGCGGCGGCCAGGCAGCGCCTTGCAGCCCTCGTCGCCAATCTGGTTGCGGTTGAGCCAGAGCCTCTCGAGCCGCGGCGCTGCCCCGCTCGCGAGGACCTCCGCCAGCTGCGCCGCCTCCGCGTCGCCCCAGCCGAGATAGGCGTAGTACAGCCTGGTCGCCTTGCCAAACTGCTCCTTGAAGGCGGCCTCGTACAGCCGCTTCACGAGCGGCTTGTCGTCCTTGCCGTTGGTGAAGCTCTTCGACTCCAGCTCCGCCGCAAACACAGACGGCAGCAGCGGAGGGCGCCGGCCGCCCTTGGTGCAGTCGAGGATGAGGTTGTTGAAGTGGTAGCTCTCGCGGTCGCGCATCAGGCCGAGGTCGAGCGAGAGGTTGCTGGACTTGGTCAGGCTCGCCCAGGCGTTCTCGGTGGCGCACCAGCCTCGGTCAAAGTACTTGGCCACGTTGGTGCCCGTGGCCTGGTCCTTCGCCTTGTGTGGCCGTCCGGGAAGGAGGTCAGCCGCAGCACCCATGTCTTCGGGTGGGAGTAGAGCGTGCCGAGGCAGCTCAGCCCCTGCTTGAAAAGCGCGTTCTGCTCCTCGGTGCGCATGACGCCGTTCGCGGGGTCGGGGTGCTGGTGCAGCGAGCCGTAGTCCCAAAAGACGCCGAGCCGGTTCAAGCCGCCGACGGTAAGGGCCTTGAGCGCCCGTGCGACGCGACTGAGGTTGGCTCCGCGCGGGTCGGGGTGGTCCTTCGTCAGCCACGGGTAGGAGAGCGCGGCGACGGGAATGTGCTGCGAAAACTCGTGCATCGCCTCGACGAGGTCTGCGAGGGAGAGGAAGGCCTCTTCGGGCAGCGCCTGGCGGTGAGTGAGGACGCCGCCCGCCTCAGCGTGGCTGATGGATCCACCGCGCGTCGAGGAGGGCGACGGCGCCGCTCGCGAGGACCGGCTCGAGGGCGTCGCCGCCGAGCTCGCGCCACCGCTCCAGCTTCTCCTCGTACACCACGGGAGCCGCTCCACGGGAGCCGCCTAAGCGACTCCTGCGAGGTGGAGGACGGCGAGGCACTTAGCTTCGTGCACTCGACCGCCCTCGCCGCAGGCGAGCTCATTCAATAATCTGCTCTGCGATGGCCGTGTGAAGAACGACTGAGATACGCTCGTGCTTCTGCAGCCAACTCTTGGTGCAACCCACAATCATGCTCCTGAACAGCTGTACATGCACCGACGCAACAGAACATTATGGATGCACGGCAGAGGCGCGCGCGCCGTCGTCGCATCTCGGCGCCACCGCCTCCCACACGGTCGAAGCTCTCGGGCCGAGGGGGAGAGCGGCCCTGCATGCTGCCACAGACCCCTCATGCAACGCACACGCAAATCACGCACGGGGGGGGGGGGGGTGCATCCAAGTTAACGCTATGTAAGGCATCTTACTCGACCTCCCACATCCGCATCCAGTCGATGCTCGCAGAGTCGAGCTGGGCGATGCCATCCCGGAGGTGGGAGCGGTACTGGTCGAGCCGCTGCTGCGGGTGCGAAGTCTTGGAGGCGAAGGCGAGGTTAAAGATGACGAACATTGGCTGCTCGAACGGCTTCCAGAGGCCGCGCCCGAACCAGCGGCCCCAGCCGTCGGGGCTGTCGTTGCGCACGCGCAGCTCCAGCCCCCCGTCGCCTTTGCGGCGCCGCGCCTCCGCGACGGGCTCGTCGTTGACAAACCACCTGCCGTGGTGCGAGGGTTGCTGCTGTGGTACATGCATCATGCATGTGAGTGCGTGTGCATGCGTGTGTCGCGCGGTCCACCACCGGAGCGAGTCAGGCTCCTTCTCGAAGCGGTAGACGTTGTAACCCGCCGGGTCAACCTTCCCATCCCTGACGAGTTGGTCGTAGCCTCCCTCGTTGAAGGCCACCCACCGCAGCTTGTCCCTGCCGTCCCATCCGCCGACCGGCGGCGGAGCGTTGGAGGTGTGCGCAGTGAGGCAAGGCACCTGCGCGCGGTGAAGTCGTGAGGTATTACGCACGGAGCAAGCGCGGAGCAAGCGCGGAGGAAGGGCTATCACTGCCACAGGGAAGGGCGAGGTTCGGGGCGCCATCGCTTTGCCCACGGCGTTGTCCCAAGACACCTTGGTCACCCACATCTCCGTGATCTCCACCTCGCCGCAAAACGGCCACCCGACGGAGCGGAAGTCGGCGCCGAGTAGCCAGAAGGCGGACCACGAGTACTCGTTATGAGAGGCGAGCCGCACGCGCGCCTCGAGCACGCCGTGCTTCAGGGCCGCCTGTGGGAGGGGTGAAGTGAGGCAAGGGGAGGCAAAGTAAGGGATTCAGCGAGGCGCGATTGCAATGTGTGGATGTGAGCAGGCCGCCTTGCCCATCGTGTTTATGCGACCCGAAAAGAAGCCAGTGGGAGGGCGCCGATCGGATTGGTCGCACACAGAGTCAAAGCCGACCGACAAGTGTGCCTGGGGCGGGTAGAAGGACAATGGATCCATATTGCACTTCTGGCCCTGTGCTGTGCCACCGCCGCCGTTGTTTGCTTTGGGGTCGTAGAACAGCTGCAGCGTGAGCGCACCGTTGCGGACGCTGACCCCCTCCGGCACGTAATATTGAGCCTCGTCACCACCGCTGCGGATGCCGTCGTTGCGAACCTCCACATTCCACAAGGCGCCGTCGACGCTCGAGCCGTCAAAGTCATCCCTGGCCGAGAGGTAGCACCTCTTCTTCAGGCGCGGGCCGCACGGGTCCACGTCTCGCCCCGTGGCAGCGGAGGCAGTCGTGGCGGCGGAGACGGCGGTGGAGGCGGCGGTAGTGGTGGTGGAGGCGGCGGCGGCGGCGGCGGCGGCGGCGGTGGCGACGGCGGTGGCGGTGGCGGCGGGAGAGGGAGGTGTGGCAGGCGCGGTGGCGGTGGTTCTCGCGAGGCAGTGGACGCCCCCTCCAGGGGCTGGCGCGACGTGTGTGACGGGCTCAGAGTGGAGCTCGCAGCGCGTGTACCCTCCCGCAGAGCCCCACTCGTACGCGAGGCAGGCCGACCGAGCAAAGCACTCCGCCTCGCACCCCTTGCGCGTGCCGAGCCAGGCGGCAGTCTCGTACTTTGAGCGGCCGGCGGAGCGGCAGTAGCCAGCGCTGCGCCCTCCGCGCGGCGCAACAAAGGTGCCGGTGGGCACAATAGCGGACGGTGCAGGAGCAGACGGGCGGCACGGCCCGCAAACTGCGAGGAACTCCAAACCGACCTGGTCGCAAGCTTCGGCCTCAGGCAAGCCCAGGTTCGCGATCACCCACCGTATCCGATCGCCGCATGAAAAGCCGTCCGCAGACGCCGAGAGCACTGACTCGGTGCAGCGCGGAGCGCAGATTGCGCTTGCCGGGTCGGGGCGGAGGAAGGCCAGCAGATTGAGAAGGCGCTTGTGCATTCCTGTGCATTCCCGGCCCAAGGCCTTTACTGCCGAGCAGCAGTAAAGGCCTTACTACCGAGCAGCAGGCTGACCCCAGAAGCGCCGTGAAAAACAAATCGTTGGCGACAAGCAAAAATAATGATTGCGCGGCCCGAGATCGCCGAGATCGCGCGGTTCTGCAGCACCTCGGATGATATCTCGGGCTCGGCGAGGTGGATGGGTTGGGGGCGAGGGGGCGAAAGTTTCCAGTGCGGTAGAGAGAGGTGGCCTGTGAGCCATCCGGCTTACATTTACCCTGCGTTCTCGCACATGGAGTGCGAGGTATCTCGACTGTCGCCGTCCCAAATTGTCACTCCCCTTTGTCCTGGCCAGGGCGGGGCGCGCGCGCCGCGGGGGCGGCGGGTAAGCGATTCGGATTGCGCGAAATCGTAAAAGAGGCGTGCGGTCGGAGCAGGGAGGGCGGGGACCTGTTCCTTTTTACCCATCTCACAGTAGAGAGGTGTCCGTTTTATTTATTTATTTATTTAGGGAGGCACGAGCGACCCGAGGTGCACGGGTTTTGGTAGAAAGATTTATTACTTCACCTTCGATACATAACATAACAATATCCCCTTGTACACCCGACGATTGCGCGACTGTGAGAGTACCCCTAGGCAACTGGACGGGCTCGAGAGCTGGCGGCGGCGGCGGTGGCGGCTCGCAGGAGATGATAGCGAGCCGGTGAAGTGAAGAAGGAGAGATGAAGTTATCAATGAAGATCCGTGCCCACGAAGCCGAGGTGCTCGTGGTGGGTGCCGAAGAGGAACAGACGGCCGCAGAGATCATCCGGATCATGCTGCAGGGCTGCACGGCCGAGGTGCCGAGCAGGCTTCCGGCCGAGGTGCCGAGAAGACTTTGTGCAGGGGCTCTGGCCCTGCCCGCCACCACGACGCCCCGCAGGTGTCCATGGTGCTGGCTACCGTATCGAGCGCTAGCCGGGAAGCTGTGCGGTGCGAGCCGCACCGCACCAGCACTCACGACGGCCGAGTTGCCGTCGATCTCCTCGCTCCGCAATCTCGCCGGAGGAACCATGTAGTGAGCTGTGAGCTGTACACGGAGCGAGGGTCTGTACCGAGGCGTACAGGAACGATCAAACCAAGATCACCATCATCCTGAAAGGGACAAAGCTATCGTCCTGAAGGACCACGACGAGACGCCGTCCAGGACACATCCCTCTGGAACAAGGCATATCTCGACTATCGGACAGTACTCAACAGGGACATCTCTCTATATACACGAGTGGGGTATTCACACTCCCAACAGGGGGGGCACACTTGCACCTGCGGTGGGGGGGGGGGAGGCGTGGAGACAGAGGGTCGTTCGGCTGCCCCGCGCGGATATGGCAAGCAACCTGCCGCGGGGTGATCGACAGGGCGACTGCGATGCTGGAGCGCATCGGGCGCGAAGGAAAGTGGTCCATCCCAAACACCTGCTCCATGATCGCGAGCGACTCTGGCTCATATGCAGGCAGGCTGGTCCGCATGG